CCACAGGCCCCCCACGCCCGGAGTTCGGTGACGAGTGTTGCCCCCATCCGGGGTCAGCTCTCGCAGCCGTGGCGTCACCGTGGCCAGCGCCCAGCCCGACACCTGGTGCGGCGCACGGGAGTGGTGCAAAGCCAGGGCCTCTGCGGGCAGCGAGGGGGGGGTTGGGGCTCGGACGAACCTTTCTGCAACCCTCGAGCTGCAGCGAGGCAAGGCGAGGACAGCGGCGCATGAGCGCGGCGACGCCGCGGTCAGTGAGCATGGCGCAGCCGGAGAGGTCAAGGGAGGTGAGGGAAGTGGAAATGGAGGAGAGGGAGAGGAGGCCGAAGTCGGAGATGTCACACCTAGGAGCGGGAGCAGTCAGGACGCGGATGGTGCCGCCCGCCGCGAGGGGGGAGGGGTGGAGGGGGGGGGGGTTTGCGCACCACCCGAGCAGCAGAGATGAAAGAGAGCGGCAGTGCGCCAGGAGCGCGGCCAGGCCGGCGTCGGAGACATCGCGGCATCCGCTCAGCGAGAGCATCTGCAGCTGTGGCAGCGCCGCGCCGATCGCGGCAACATGCGCGTCCTGCAGCGCATCGCAACCCGAAAGGTCCAGCGAAATGAGTGACCGGAAGGACGTGCAGAGCACGCCGACGTCGCGGCCGCAGGCGTCCGAGCCGCGGAGCGAGAGGGTGGAGAGCGCCGGGAATCGCCGCGCGAAGGCGCGCAGCGCGGACGAGAGCGGAGTGCCGCGGAGAGACACGCGGGTGATGTGGAGCGAAAGCCGTGGTGGGCGGAAGGCGCACGCCCACTCGCGGCAGACACAGTCGAGGCCGAGAACCTCGGAGCAGGGGAGGAACGAGGCGACGTGCGCGAGCGTGTCGACGTCTAGCCGTGAGAAGCCGGCTGGAATGTCGGCCTCCATTTTCCCTCCCAAGGAGGAGCTTCCTCCGCCGCCTCCGCGCTGCTGCACCCCTTGCCGGAAGCTGCACGCGCGGCTGTTCGCTCCGCCTGCCCTCGCCCTTGCGCCGCGCGGACGGCGTTTTTTTTAGATCATCGCACCCGACCCCCCCCCCCACCAAGACATGCAACGTTTGTGGTTTCGGACGGCAGCCACGCCTGCTTTTGGCGCTACGGGGGCTTGGGCGTGGCAGCGGCACGCCGCTCACTTCACGAGCGAGTACAGCAGCACGCCGCCAATGCCGATCCCGCAGCCGAGCATCTTGATAGGCTCGAGAGACTCGCCCAGTGCAAGCGCGACGCCGACAATGACGATGACGCGCTTGGCCGTGTTTGCGACGGACTGGGTGGTGGCCGAGGTCTTCTTGATGGTGAGGGTGGAGAGCTCGTTGTAGAGGTAGAAGTAGAGCCCCGAGGTGACGAGGTTGCTCGAGAGCGCCTTGCTCGACTTGAACAGCTCGACGAACGTGCCGAAGCGCTTCGCCTCGAGGAGGAGCCAAAAGGGGAGGATCGAGAGTGTGCCGAGGATTGTCGAGAGCGCAAACTGGTTGCCAGTCGATCCGATCCGGTCCGACAGGCCGGCGGTGTCCATCAGCTTCTTGTTCTCGTTGGAGCGGAACGCGGCAAAGAGGTTGGCGACGCACGCGGCTAGCAGGGCCCAGACCGAGAAATCAAGCTCCTTGAGCGAGGCGAGGCAGACGCCGCCGATGACCGGGATGAGGCAAAGCCACTTGGCCTTGGAGATGGACTTGCCGTACAGAGTGACGCCCAGGAATGCGGCAAAGGCGGGCTCAGCGGCCTTGACGATCTGGGCAAAGGAGACGGCGCCGAGGTTCATCGAGAAGATGGATGACAGGTGGGCGCCGGCGGCGCACGCCGCGACCGGGAGGATCTGCAGCAGGTCCGACGGCGTCACGTTTGGCTGCGGCCGCATGTCGGGCGCAACCCACGCAAACAAGGCGTACAGGCTTCCAATCACCATCTGCAGGAAGCCGATCGTCACGGGAAAGCCGTCCGTGGCGCCACCGGACGCCTTGAGCGCGAGCTTGTTGTTGAGCGTATAGTAGTAGTTGCCGACGTACCACCCGGCGAAGTAGAGCATGAGGGTCCAGTCGATGCCGCCCACAGCACCGCCGCCGCCGCGCACCGCGAGCTTTGAGTTGCCCGAGGCCGTCTTGCCGGCGGCGAGCGGCGCGCGAGCGGTGTCGCCGCCCCGAAGCCGCAGCGCCGGGCGCGACGCAGGAGCGACGCTGCCGCTGGCGACGGCGAGCGAGCCGAGGGCAACGAGCAGAACCGATTTGGCCATTGTGCGCGGCACCCTCCTCTCGCGGAGATTGTGGAGCTTGGAGCAGAAGGAAAGAAAAAAGTGGGAGAGAAGGAGTAGAGGGTGGAGAGGGTTGTTTGGGGGGGGGGGGTAAAGGAAGCGTGAAGTGACGCCTGTGGGCGCCGGTGTGGGGGGGGGGGGGGGGGGAAAATCTTCCCACCCCGTTTCAAGGGGGCTCTCCCTCCCGGGCTTCTCGGGTAACCCTGGGAAATGGAGGTTTGCCCCCGCCAAAAACCCCTTTAGCCGCGCCCCCTTTGGCCGGAACTCGGCCTCTGTTTCCCACCCCCCCCA